AAACCACTGAGACTATGGCCCCTAGCTGCCCTTCAGGTCTGGAATTGAACCCACACCTGTGGTTTCCAGCCAAACAAGGTACAGGCATGTGAATTAAACATTTACCTCAAGTAGACACATGCCCTGGAGAGAACAATCATGGGAGAAGTAAGGGCTGTTTATGCACAGGGAGACAGCTCAGGTGGCAGGAGAGTATGGAGGGATGGGCACTGGGAAGAGATAACTATGGAGAGGAAGTGGGAGGGGAGCTGCTGCATTGTGGTAAACTGTGGTCAATGACATGCAACAATGTATATGTGAACGGCTGTATGGAAAGTGAATTTGCTCTGTAAATCTTCACCCAAATCAAAATAAAATAAAATAAAATAATAAAAAAAAAGATTTTGGAAAACTGTCCCTTTGACTAGGTGATGGTTGTTACTGTTTGCAATGGAATGTTATTAACCATCTTCTTTGCCTTTTCTCTCTTGAGTATTTGTTGAGAGAGTTTGTTGAGAAACCAGTCAACATCCTGAAGATCCTCAGGCCACCTCAAGTACTGCTGCTTCTGTACAAAGCTTCTGATAGACTGGTGTTTCATGAGCTGGTACTGGGACAAAGAGCCGACCACCACCATGATGAGGACGCTGCTGAGGTCAGCTACACCTCTGCTTTGGGCATAACTGAAAGCTTCAAGGCACCACCCGTCTTGGAGAAAGTGTCGGCTCACAAGGCAAACAATCTTTCGGCTGCTCCAGATGGCATCCTGGATGTTGGTGATGTGGTTTTCCCCTGGAACAAAGTCCCTTTCTTCAAAGCAAAGGCTCAATCTGTTTTGGTCACTGTACTGAGTGTCCAGGTGTTTGAGCAAAGCATTCTGTACCCATTTGAAATCTTTGTTACTGAAGCACAAATAAGCATCGTATTTGTACATATCAGATTCCAGGCCCTGAGGGTGGTCCTTGAACACCAGTCTCTGGACTCTCTTATAGCAGAGGAAACAAAACCTCCGGCACTTGGTGACAATGAAGATGGTCATGAGGAAGAGAGTCAACATCACAGTAGAAAAGATGAAAAGGGAAAACTTGAGGGACTGTAAGGCTTCCTCTTCATCACATCCCTCCATGGAAACAGAGAAGACAGGGACCCTAGAGAATGATTCATGGAACATGCAGTATATGTCTGCAGGAGACCCAAATATAGTGACATTCGTTTGATTGAGCCAACTTATAAAAGTGCTAAGTTGACATTCACAGATGAACTGGTTATGCCTTAAGTCCACAGCACTAAGTGATGCAAATAAACTGGGATCAGGATACAGGAGCTGGTTCTTGGACACATCCAGGACCTCTAAATTAGCAGGTAAATCACCAGGAGAAAGAACTGTCAGCCTGTTGGAGCTGAGGTCTAGTCCCCTTAATGCAGTCAGATCACTAAATACTCCTGATGGAAGGGAACGGAGGTAGTTATTATTCAAATACAGTACTTGGAGGTGAAACAGCCCCTTGAAAATATCCAAACAGAACCCGGCCTGCCAGGCAAGCTGCAACATATTTTCTCCAAGGAAAAGCTGTTCTAAGCTGAGATTCTCTGCAGGGGCAGGACCTGGGCTACAAGAAGAAAAGCGATTTTGGTTTAAAATGAGAATCTGAAGATGAGGCACCTGGAGAAGGAAGTACAGAGTAGCCAGATTCTCCAGTCTGTTCTCAGATAACTGGATGAAGTTGGCTCTGAGGCTGATGTTTGGCAAAGTTACTAGTTTATTGCCACCCAAAAAGATATTAGGTATGCTTGGAATAAAATAAATTGTTTTAAGAGCATTATCCCGGAGATCCAAGGTATTTAAATTTTCCAGGAATCTGAATGTATCATCCTGAATTATCCCAATGTGGTTCTTTTGCAGATCAACATAGGTGACCTTTGACAGTCCATTGAAATTAGAATTATAAAGTTCCCCCAGAAGGTTATAGGACAGATTGAGAATTTGGAGGCTATTGAGTCCATAAAAGGCTCCTTTTGCAATCTTGTTAATCTTGTTGTGGGCAAGGTTCAGAATTTTTAATTCCTTGAGGGTCCCAAAAAGCTGAAAGTTCAAGGAGAAGATAAACCCATGTGAAAGGTCAAGGTGGACCACTGAGCTCCTGGCCAGGCCAGCAAATGTGCTCTGGTCAGGATTTTTGATGTTATGGAAGCCAAACCCAGAACCCATAATGTGGTGTGTGAGAATCAAAGAGAAAATCTGGCTTCCATTGATGGCATTACTAAAGTTTCCTGTGATGTCCACTGTCCAGCCATTACCAGAAACATCTAGGGTTTCCAGGGCCATGTTTCTGAATGGGTTCATGCACTTTTCCCAGTCCACTGAATCTCTGCTATACAGGTGATTAGATGCAAGGCTAAATAAGGACAGCATTTTCCCTTGGAGGGGCTTGAGCTCACTCTCACATACAGTTGATACTTGGTTGAGGGAAAAGTCTATAGACTTCAAGGAATTCAACTCCTGGAATGAAGGATGAAAGTGAAGGCTGAGAATCTGGTTTTTGGATAAGTCTAGGCGTATTAATGATTCTAAATTTCTGAAATAACCATCTTTTAATACAGCATCTGAGAGACCACAGTAAAACAATCTAAGTTCAAACAGATGGGGCAGTCCCTGAAAGGCATCTGGATGCAAGAAGGTTATCTGGCTTTTGCCCAGATCCAAGATTCGAAGATTGGGTAGGTTTCTGAAGGCGTCTTTGTCAATAGTCAAGGGTGTAAACTGGGATCCAAGTTCCAGCAGCTTCAGCTGCTCCAGGAAGGGAAATGACATTGAAGTGATTGTCCTGATATAGTTGAAGCTCAGCAGGAGGCTCTTAGTGGTGTTGGGGACCTGGGGGACCTTGGTGAGGTTGCAGAAATGGTATAAGGCTGTTTGATGATCAAAGGAGCAGGAAGAAATTCCAAACACAGGACTGGCCACAAGCACCACTCCTAAGAGAAGTTCCAGGTGATCTCCCATGATCCTATGGAGAAGAAGGAGAATGAAAACACAGGCATCTAAGCTCAAGGCATTGTATATGGGTCCTAGAACATGGGGATTTCCTCTATCATGTGCCTGTTCCCTTAGGCCCCTTTATTACTTGGCCTCCATGGATGTGGGTGTTGGTAGATACTGCCTGTACAGACAAAGTTATTCTCTCTTTCTGTCAAGCACATATTGCATTTTCTACAGACTCAGCACTATTCTAAGGTCCCTGGGTGGCACAAATGGTTTGTGCTCATCTACTAAACCAAGGTTGGCGTTTGAACCCATCCAGTAGTGCTGTGGAGGAAAGCCTTGGCAATCTGCTTCCATAAGCATCACAGCCAAGAAAACCCAATGGTACAGTACTCTTCTATAACACATGAGGTCACCAGGAAGCAGAACTGACTTGATGGCAGTGGGTTTGGTTTTGGTTTAGGCACTATTCCAGGTATTTTAAACATATGGTCCATTTAATCTTTATAATAATCCTGTTTGCTCAGTCATTGCTTAGTTCATTTATTCATTCAAGATTCATAAGGGAACTTGGAAAAAATAGCAAGAAGAGACACCATCTAGCTTCACCATAGCCAGAGGTCCCAGCTCAACCCACAGAAGGCTCAGCATTCTTCCTAATGACTCCACTGAGTTTTCCTCCCCTAGCCTGTCCAGGACACTAACCCAGTTCAGTTCATCCATCCTTACTCCATACATAGTACATCTCATCATGCATAACTTGAGTATTTTATGTCTTCTCCACACAGTCACATTTCATCAGGTTAACAAAAATGCTCACCTATCAGTTTGTCATTCTGTGGCAGTTTGCACATTGCTGTGGTGCTGAAAGATATGCTAACAGTATTTCAAATGCCACCAGGATCACCCATGATGAGCAGGTTTCAGTGGAGCTTCCAGATTAAGACAGATTAGGAAGAAAGGCCTGGTGATCTATTTCTGAAAATTAGCCAATTAAATGCTTATGGATCACAACATAACATTCTCCAATACAGCGCTGGGGGATGAATCCTCTAGATTAGAAGGCACTATACAATGGCCACAACAATGCCCTCAAGCATGCCAATGACTGTGAAGATGTTACAGGGCCAGGCAATATTTTGTTCCATTGTACATGGAGTTGCCATGACTCCATAGCAACTCAAAACAATAAAGATGCCCTGAGCACTTACTGCATGGCTAGCCATCTACTTCTGAAAATAAGAAAGTGAAAACATTGTGGATCACAACAGAATATTGTCCAATTTAGTTCTGGACAATGGGCCCCCTAGGTTGAAAACTAGTACACGACAGCCACATGCCTGTGGACTCATGTTGAGTGAACTCAAACATGCCAATGATCATGAAGATGGTCCAGGTCCAGTACTGGGCAATGTTTTGTTCTGCTCTACATAAGGCCATCAGGAATCAGAGTAGACTTGATGGCAACTAACAACAATTCCACCAGAGGCTCAGGGTGACAACAGCAGAGTCAACCCTGTTGTTCCAACTGTCAACACCCCCAACCCTGTCCCTAAACTATCAGCAAGTCTTGTTAGTTCTACTTCTCAAACCTAGCCACTACTCACTTCTAAGCCACAATCATTTCTTATCTAGGCCAGACCAGAGACTCCTCACTACTCTCTCTTATTTCTGGCCTTGCTCTTCATTCTCTAAACAGCAGGAGCATTCTTGTAAAAATGTACTAGACTCAATGGCAGTGAGTTTGGTTTATATATATATATATATATATATATATATATATATATCCCAAAGATTGTTAGTGGTTACCAGGGGTAGGAGGGAGGGAGAAAGGGGAAGCTTTTGTTTGCAGGGCACTGAGTTTATATTAACAATGGTTGAATATTTTGGAAAAGGATAGCAGTAATGGTGACACAACATGAAAATTAAGAATTTATTTTAAAAACTTAATTGCAAGTATATCACTCCTTTCTGCATGAAACTCTTCCTCTCCTTCCTACTGCACTGGGACAAAGTCCTGCAAAGGTATATACATGGTCTCGCTCTTCCATGTCTCTTCAACATCACTCCAACTATTTTCTACCTCAGTAATTTATTCAACAAATATCTACTGGGTCCCTACTATATGTTAGGAGCTCTGGTAGTGCAGTGCTTAAGGCACTTGACTGCTAACCAGAAGGCCGGCAGTTCAAACCCACCAGCCACTCCTTGGAAGGAAGGTTGGGCAATCTACTTCCATAGTGATACCACCTTGGAAACCCAAGGAGAGGTTGCTTTGAGTGGGGTCCGACAAAACAATCAAGCCTGTCCTCATGCAATGAGTCCCTGGGTGGTGCAAACAGTTAAGTGCTTGGGGGCTAAACAAAAGGCTGGAGGTTTAAGTTCACCCAGAGGCACCTCAGAAGAAAAGCCAGCCATTGAAGACCCTGTGATACACATGGGGTCATCATGAGTTGGAGCTGATTTGACGACAGCTTATTTTTTGGGGGTCACCCACATTAATATTCCTGCTTACTGGAGAACGCCCACACCCATCATTGTGACAACCAAAAACATCTCTAAAAATTTCCTAAATGCACCCTAAGGGGAAACACTGTCCCCATTAAGAGCCAAGCATGTTAACCATTTGCACCAAATGTGTGTGACAGTCCCAAACCATCCAGATTTGCCCAGGACCCACACAGCTTTAGGTTATCCTGCCAAACATCTCTGAAGGGGAACAATGCACTCAAAATTACCTCAGAACTCAACTCTATTTTATATATCAAAGTGTGTTTTGAAATATACTGAATTGTCTAGGACTGCAACCATCTTGTAAATCCAGGAAAGGCTGTACCTTGTTCTGGTTGGAATTTTACCGAGTTATTCACTGTTCCAGAAAATCACTTCACTGATGCCACTGCCTTGGTCACTGTTCACTGGGAATCACCAACAGCACAGCCCACAATGTCCATCCACATCCGCAAAGCTGCATTCACTGGGGTGGGGTGGGGGTGGAAGTGGGGGAATCTGCATGTCTGTGTGAGCACATTTACTTATACCTTATTTCAACATGTCAAGTTTAATGAAGAAGTTTAAGAACTATCAGTTGGATATTGTTTTAATTCTCTTAAGTCCAAGTATCTGACTAACTGATTTCATCTTCTTATGTTGTACCCAAACATTCACCTATTGAAATGCCTATTGATTCATTATAAATTATTTTCCTTTTTATACTACAGCTAGGGCACTGTATTGCTTTCTTTAAAATTATATAGGTAGATAACCAAACCAAACTCACTGCCATTGAGTCAATTCTGATTCATAGTGACCCTCACTGGGTTTTCAAGGGTATACATCTTTATGGAAGCAGATTGTCTCATCTTTCTTTTGCAGAGCAGCTGATGGGTTTGATCCACTGACCTTTTGGTTAGCAGCCAAATGCCTTAACCACTACATCAATAGAACTCCGTATATATATAGATAGGTTACACATCTATATATTTCATTTCAAAACAGTAAAGGTGTCAATTCAAACATTTGCTATAAAAAGAGGGGCTGGTCAGACAGTGCTGTGACTCACAGCTATAAAGCTTCTGGTTCTCTTTCCACATTCATTCTCCTGATGATTTAAACCAGGAAATCTTAGAATCTTATTTATTCTTTCTTTTTACATAGTTTGTGATTGTTTCTTTTGTGCAAGACTGGATTGAATAAAGGCCTCAGAACTGAACTTGTATCCTAGATGACACAAACTGGTTGGGAGGCCAGTACTACACAAAATGGGATAAGTTAGAAGTGATCTTAGTACACAAATTGAAGAATTATCAGAAAGAAATCAGTCAAGGGAAATGCAGCTTCTACATTTCAGAAGAAAACTATAAAGACAAACACTCATCCCTGTTACCTTGGAGGGTTTGGGACAGGCCCTCTTAGTAGCCACAAGGCTCTGCTCTGTTACACCACTGCCTTCAATTATGTATTTATACTTTATATCCTGCATGGTACCCATCTGTCATACTGCGGTGCTTGCATAGTGCTGTGATGCTGGAGGCTATGCCACAGGTATTTCAAATACCAGCAGGGTCACCATGGTGGACAGGTTTCAGCACACCTGCCAGACTAAGACAGACTAGGAAGAAAAGCCTGGCAATCTATTTCTGGAAATTAGCCAATGAAAACCCTATGGGTTACAACAGAAAAATGCCCAACTCACTTCTCACTTGCTTTGGAGAGATCAGGAGGGACCAGTTGCTGGAGAAGGGCATCATGTATGGTGAAGTAGAGGGCCAACAAGGGCAAGGGAGACCCTCTGTGAGATGAATCAGTACAATAGCTGCAAACATGGACTGCAACATGCTGGAGACTATGAGTATGGCATAGGACCAGGCAATGTTTTATTCTGTTGTACATAAAATTGCCAGGAGTCAATCCACTTGGAAGTAGCTAACACCACCAAGTTTTCCAAATGTGTCCAATAATTTCAAATGTAAATTACCATTGTTAAAACAAGAGAGACAGAGGTAGACTGTCTTCTGTGAAAATAGAGACAGAATGTAGATGAGAAATAATTACTGGAATGAGCCCTAGATTGAGCTCTGGGTATCCTGGTGTCCCAGCTGTTGGGCTATGATTCTAGAAGCTGGCACAGTTCTGGAGGCACAGGTAAGGCAATGGGTAGAATGCAAGAGTCCTCATTCAGATAAAATTCTACTGAGAATGGGGACAATCAGGCTTGTGACCCAAGGAAGCAAAATAAATGAACTGAAGTGAAAATAAACGGTCATGAAAACATCATATTACTGTTGTTTTATGTAACATTTTTCAGATACTGTAGCATGAAGTGAAGTCTAAACTAACCTACAAGGCACATAGGAACATCACTCTCATTCCCTAAAGTTGAGGAGGCTCATGCTGCCTCAGTTGACCATGTTTGATAGTAGACAATATCATTGTTGTGGTGGTTGTTGGGTGTCGCCAAGTTGATTCCGACTCATAGCAACCACACATAACAGAGTAGAACTGCTCCACAGGGTTTCCTA